CCGAAGGACCTATTAATATAACACTGTTAACCTGCTGTTGCAGACTCGGTTTGATTGAGTCTGTTCATGGACGGTACAGCCCCCCTTGCACATAGTATTACTATCAAGTACCCGCTTTGGAAAAGATTAGCTATTTTCGTCCAATTGAAAGCTCTTCTTAATTCCTCCCATGAAGTTCCTCCCAAATGCTCAAAATCATACACAGGAGCTGTCAGTAGGACAGCGTGCTCGACTATTCTCAGTGCTTGATAGTAAAAAAATGGGACATAATATTGTAAAAAAGCTTGATACAGTGACCTCTTCTGTACACAGGTTGAGATTATGATGGTGAACAAGTGTGCAAGGTCTCAAAGCAATATGTCGATGGAATTTTGAAATTATCTGAGGTGGTAATGTAAATTCAAAGTTGGGAAAAGGGGCATAATTCTGTCAAAATGCTTGATATACCTCCTCCAGTGTTGAAAGTGGAGGGCATGATGGTAAACAAGTGTGCAAGTTTCAAGCCATATGTCGATGGACTTTGAGATGGTACGCAAACTTTAACGCCGACGCTCGGGCGACTAGGATAGTTGTCCTTAATCGTCGAATAGTTGAGCTATAAAGAAACTGACCTCATAATCTATATTCTCAATTCACTCAATATATATATTTATAATTATATAATATTTTATTTATATTCAGATACAGTCTAGCAGAAAAGTCTCTTACTGTTAACTGAATAACCTACCCATTTTAAATGTTCTAGCAAATTACATTATATATTTTAATGTATATATTATATCCGTCATCAATAATGACAAAACTCCAAATTGGTTCAATTGTAGGTTATCATATGTTATGCCAATGCCTTAAAACAAGAAAACAAGAGCTGCATATCAGACAGAACGCTCGAATATTTAAAATCAACATCCTGCATAATAAAGAAATTCTCTTATACATAAAGTAGTATAACTCTTTGAAATAAAAACATGAAAGAGGGAAGTAACCTACAATAATGATGGTTGTGGAGATAAATGTTGTCCGAGAAATTCTGTAAGTTAATAAATAGATATTATTATTGCCAAATAAATGCTTAGCTTATGGGTCTTGAACAGTGACCTACAAGTATAATCAAAATCACATTTGAAGACTAACAATGAATGTTTATGGCTAAGGAGAAAAAACTTGCAAACAAATCCTTAACAAAAGGCAAGCAAATACCGAATTGCAGGCCAGTAAATAGTTCCTTATTGTGTGCATAAAACAAATAAAAGAGATATTTCAACATTTAGACACACATTCAGGGCATTTTCTATGAAAGATAAAATGTCTCATCACTAACCATTTAAATAAAATTGTTAAACTTTTTATATTACTGTTATAATATAAAACAAAAAAGTATTTAATTTAAAGTTCACTCCCCGGTCGTAATACCCCACCCACTTTGTATATAAATTTAGATCAATAAAACACATTTATGGCATAGTCCGCTTATTCTAACTTATTCTAAATATGTGTATATATAGATTTAAAGCTGTATTAAACGAAATCATGAATGTTTTTCAGTTTAAACAAGAATAAAACTAATAAGTTACACATATTCAGACAAGGACACCCAGTTTGCAACATATTTTTTCTCCTGTCGTTTAAATTAGGCGATGAAAACTAGAAAAAAATCAATAAAGTCAAAATTTATAGCATGAGTAAGTTGAAAATAAGAAATTTTCTGAAAAATTTCAATTGATTTACAAAACTGAAAAAGGAAATAAGCCAACGTAAATATGCTAGAAAATCTAGGGATTTGGCGGCCATCTTTGACGCCATCTTGGATATCTTAGCTTCGCATCGGGGTTGGGCCAAATGAATATCCATTCCAGAAACTACAGATCCAGACGAACATTTTGGTATATGAAACTTGCTGTTGGCTGACATAGACCAGTTACCCCTCTAAATAGGCTAGTAAAATGGTCTGATTTGCAGCACTAAATAGCATAGTAATACTTATTAAGCAAAACCTTTGTATTGAGACGCTGTAGTGTATAGTGTTAGACCGTTGGTCTCTCAATCATACTTGTGCGGGTTCAAATCCCAGTCTTTCCATTTTTTTATGATATATTGTTTTCAATGCTCGAGTATTTAGTGTTTTTTGTCATGCATATAAATTACATACCTCAGGTGTGTTACAATTCAGTTGAGAATCTGTGCTACACATGTCATAATGGCGTGCAAAGAAAATCATCTGTTTTATTGCGAACACGCAAAAGCGATTATTGAAAGAGTTTTGAAGGTTCCATCTTACTGTTCGTTACATGAACATAGTCTTTCTGTCAGATTGTCTCTTTTTTACATTTTACTATTCTATGATGTTCATTAAAGTAATTTTGTGTTATTTATTTTTCAGGTATGCGAGTATGAGGAAAAAGTGCAAGATCTATCGATGGCATTGGAAGAGACGGTGATAAAGATGGCCCCCAACTACACCGGAGCAGCAGTTTCTACCCTGTACAGACATCGTGCCAACAAAGGAATGAAGAAAGCAACACCTGGCAGCAAAAGGCTACTTTTGGATGATTTTGACGTATTTGTTATATGACGTACAGTAAACGAAATTATTACCGTCCAGCATCGGCTTCCAACGACAAAGATAATACTAGCTGAGATTCAATAAAAGATGGGATATGATGCTGGAGAAACTCATTGGCGAGGGGTATTGAAGAAGTTGGGAGTCAGATGGAACCGATGTGAAAACAACAGGAGGCTGCTCATGGAAAGACAAGACGTGGTTCTCTCCAGGATTCGTTTCGTTCGCCAGATAAAGAAACTCCGAGATGATGGTAGACCAATCGTGTATGTGGACGAGACTTTCGTGAATACGTCACACTCTACGAAGAAATGCTGGCAGTCGGACGAAATTATGGTGAATGTGCCGGCGGTTGATTGTCGTTCATGCTGGGTCTGTCTCTGGGTTCGTCTCTGGTACCAAACTCATTTTCAAAGCAAATACATCAACAGTTGACTACCACGGGGAAATGAATGGGGTGATTTATACCAAGTGGCTGACGAATCTTCCATTACACAGTGTCGTGGTGATAGACAACGCACCTAATCATACCATTTGCGATGACAAATGTCAGACGACATCCAGTACAAAAAGTGTGATGACGTCATGATTACAGCGTATTCAGCCAATACATGCTCAAGGCTGAATTGTTTGATCTATGTCAGAAGCACAAGCCAGCAGAACCGATTTATCGTACAGATTTGATCCTTAGGCAACACGGACATGAGTGTGTTAGGCTTCCACCTTACCATGCTGACCTCAACCCAATCGAATTGATATGGGCCAATATGAAAGGAAAGGTTGCCGCAAGGAATCTAACCTTTAAGTTTAAAGATGTGCAGGCTCTCGTGGATGATGCCATCGGGGATATCACCTCTGATGACTGGAAATCATGTGTCAAACATGTGGAGACCGTAGAGAGCAGGTACTATGCATCAGACATTGCTGTCGATAAGGAGATGGACAGAATATGCTTTGTAGTTGACTCATCAGATGAAGGTACGGATACTGCCAGCGAGGGGGAGTACTCCGGTACGACTGACAGCGCTTGCGCGACTGAGAGTACCACAGAGGGCTTAAATATTTGAATTGAATTGTATCTTAGTATATATTTGTTATAACACTCTCGTAAATAAAATCGTGGAAAATATATGTAAAAAAATAAACAAGTAAATAAATAAATAAATTATAAATGAATGAATAAAATTTAAAAACAAAACACTAAAAAGACTTTATAAAAGTATTAACACTTGAAAAAAGTATTACCCATACTGGCATGCGAGCAGTTCCCGTACAAAAATCGTAGTTACTTAAACATTATTTTTTATTACGCTCACTCACCAAAATTTGAATTTTACACATCAATATTCGGCTCGTCACACAAATCATGGAAATTCCATCATGTTCTAAACATAGAATAACCCTTACTTATGAGGCCTCATATGGGGTACCGAAATTATTGATTATTTTGCATGAAGAGGAGTAGTTCCCGTACATAAAATCTAACCCATTGTAATTATACAATTTTATTATATCGGACCTATTTTTCATTTACAATTGTTGAACAGACCATTATCTAAGAAATAAATAGATGCAATTCAGGAAATAGACCGTAGACTAAACGCGGGTATCTATTACCCGGTACCGTTACCCCAACGCATTCACATGCAATAGCATGCTTGTATACATGATATTTTACGCATCAAAGCCATAAAATTATTTTAAATAGTAATATTGGTCAAAATTCTGATAATTAAACAAGTTTTAATCACATTGCCTACTTATCTGTAAACAGGTGCTATTAGTGGAAAACCCTTTAACAAGCCTCACGTGTAAATATCTTTGCGCATGCGCGCAAGGACGGAATCCCCCAGAGAAAACAATGTCACGTTTTGATGACGCACAGGTGAAAGTGATTTAAAATGAGACTTTAAATGCGTATTGCCGAACTGACACTTAGATTTTGTCTCGTTTATGTATCTGCTTGATTTGAAATGAATTTTTAAAGAATGCAAGTAAAAATCAAGCGTTTAAATGAAAAATACGGGTACTGCTTCTGTACGGGAACTGCTCGCACGCCAGTATGGGATTTGAACTTAAGACCTTCCGCATGCAAAACAAGTACACAAACCACTACACTAACGGGGGAGATAATATTTCACGATAATGTAGTTCATTTTCGTATTTGACTTTTTCCTGCCACCCCTATGTACTTTTGTATTTAGGATTGCCCATTCTCGATAATATTTGAATCGACAATATCTATTGCCAACATTACAAAGTCGTAGAAGATAGTTTCTATAAATGACAAATGAGTATTTTTGAAGCTGTAACAAGATACCAAAAATTAAAAAAAAACTTTTGGGAAAATAAAAATGATACATTTCTGAGGCACATTTGGCCTTTAACGAAAAGCAAAAAGTAATAAGTATAAAGTCCTTGTGCCATTTCAAATACTAACCTTAACTTCGAGTACGGGTGCACTAAATTCTACGTCGTGAGATTTTACACAGTTTTGGATAGGGCGTGATCTCGAGGCCTTGACAAAGGCGTAAGCCTGAATGTTAATACTACGTCCGCTGTCGATCTCTTCAAAGTAGTCCGACAGTTTCAGTGTAGTCTTGAACACGTGATCTGTAACAAAAAACCGAGTAACAATTAGGTATTCATCCACGCTCTCTTAACAAACTAAGTCTATCGTTTAATTTTTGTCTGTTTCCGAGTCTTATAAAGAACTGTGAAGCGTCCGTGTCACCAGGATCAAAATATATACGGAAATTATCGAACATAGCCGATATTTTACGATCTTTATAACAAATATATTTTTAAAAATATTGTATTGTGAGGCAACGTTTGCTTTTGGTGATACTATTTGAAGCAAGGGTTTACATTAAGTAAATTCATTGTAAACTAGCGGTTAGTTAACTCCATTGTTTCACGGCTTATTGGAACATTAGTATATTTTAAACTTTAATTAATATACTTAAACTTCGGTAAAATTTAACATCTTAAGTAAAATTTTTAGAACAAGCAGCGGTGAAACTTTCAGCGGTAAGATCTGATAATTCATCAAAAAATTTATATTTTTCAACGTTTATTTTTCTTTATTTACCCTGGCCTTGACGAAGTTTTACATCCTGTGTGAACTCTTCTGTTTTGATCGCCTTTTTAGAACAAGCACCGGTGTAACTTTGAGGGAACACGGTTATCACCACCCTGGTTATCTTTCTAGTGTTCTTGCTCTTATTGTACGCTTTCAGCTCTATATCAACATCTGAGCCTAGAGAAGGTTCCGGATCGTGAAGTAGTTTGAATTCTATATCCTGTGAGTAAGAAATAGATAATTCTGTATGAGACGTCAGTGATTGTAAAGTTATAAGTTATAACATTATCTTGGTAATGAAATGCCTAAAATGCAATTTGTCATCCGCAAGTGGTATATTTTACTAACCAAATGGTCCAAAATAGCGTCACATATGTGAGCTCGTTTCCAGTAACTTTTTGTTTCTTTTCAATTGCAACAAAGCCGTTTATGTACGAGTAAGTAAATTGTGGCCTTATAAGATGGTAACTGATGTTGTTTTTTGACGATTTCAAACAGCAAGAAGTCTTTAGAATTGATGACAAAATAAATGTTCACATCAGCTTTCTTCTTCGAAGGAGGGAAAAATGAACATTACCTTTAAGTATCATTATTTAACAAAACGCCACACAGCTAATGTGTTTTTCATAAGATCGCGAAATATCGTTACTTTCCGTAAATTTTCTACTAAATGCCTAGAGACAGCTCGACGATTTCTTGATAAATTTGCAATACTGAAGGTGACAAAGTAGGCAATATCTTCGTGAGGAATTGATTGAAAGAATTGTTAATAATGAAAAACAACAACAACAAAAAAATGTCGACATAAATTACATCAATCTCATCGTCATCACCGTAAACGTCCTTCCGGTTTCCACTACCAACTACTGCACGCATCACCGCTTTTCTGTTTTCCTCGCTGCCTATAATGAAACAAAGTTTTCGTTTAAATAACACTGTATGCATAAGATTACAGATAAAACAGGTACTAAAATAATAAAATCGTCTCACACTGTTTTTTTATAATGCATATATAAGATAATTTGATATGTGATATAATAAACTGAACACCTTTCATTATGTTATCCGATGGTCATCTCATATTCTCCAAAAGTTCGTTTTCTTCTCAAAACAGTTATACTAGAAATCCCCCCCAAAAAATGGTGCAATCTCTTTTAAAGTTTTTTTTTTTTTGGCACGTAAGCAAACGTTTGAGCATTTGCTTCTTCCTAAACGTTCGTCTCAATACTGAGAGCCAACATTATTTCCGAGATTTCAATTAGGTAGATTATTGAATGTTAGATCGGTTATACAAGGTTAAAGTACCTTTTATAACGTGCTTTGTAACAATTGCAGTGGCACGAGTACACAAAATAAAAGATCAATTGAATGAAAATTACTTGACCTTACTTACCTTCTTTGTATTTGTAATTATCTGTGACATCATTCCTGTTGCTAAAAATACCACCGATTGCTTTTGTACTTATACTCTTTCCTACCCTGAAAATAGTGTACGCTTCTTTTAACTTTACAACAACAACAACAACAACAACTATGACAACAGGGCAACAACAGCAACAACAAAGACAACCACAACTGCAACACTATTTGTTAAATCAAGTACTGAAAAGGCACACACGTTTTGTTTCTTTTACCACCAACGCTCAATCCTATTACATTCGCGGTATAATTACAAATGAAATTGTTGCTACTAACCTTAACAAGTATCAACAGCTCAGTCTCTTCTAGATTTTATTATCCGAGCAAAGGAAAAGCAAACGGACCCGGAAATGATCCCCTACTCAAAATTTATAAAAACCTCTTACTGCTTTACATTTGTATGAGAGGCAACAGCAGGATTGAAGAAAGTAAGAAGTAGCACCAACACCTGTGTAATGATTTTTCTTTGATCCCCTCTCCCAATCTTATTTCCTCATTCCAGGAGAAAGATGTGTTGTAAAGCAATAATTATACACTAAATGTTGGAATTTTTTGGAAAATTAGTCGTACATTATAATAAGGGATTTTATCTATCGGAGAAATAAAAATCACCTCAACGAAAGAACGAATGAAAGAACAGACGAACGAACGGACAAATGAATATTTCAAAAGAACGGTTATTAAGTAAATTATTTAAATACTTGTCAGTCCTGAGTTTAAATTTTCTATGGCCCTCGGGTACAGGTTCCCAGTGGACAATATCAGCATTCACTTCGGAGAAGATAAAACCACAGTCATACGGTATCTTAACTTGTCCGGTTTTGATAGCGTATACCGGGCACGGCCCGCAAGTGTACTTCCCTGCATCATAAAAAGAAATGAAAACATATTTAAATAGTTTGATAAAACTATGTATAGGAAAATTGGGAATCGAGAAGTTTTATATTTGATCGCTTATTTTCTTTGCAGGTTTCTGGCTCTTAAAGGAGAAACAGAACACTGGGGCGTTATGCTTTGTATGTCTGAGATTATATACTAGTAGATAATAATTCGGCTTAAATTTGGCCACTGTCATCTGCTTATTTTTACCTGCTATATCTGAAAATGCTTAGCTTTTGCTGCCGCTTTTGCCACCAGTTTAGAACCAGGCCAATTTCCATATCCGTACCGTGCGGTCAGGCTGTATACTGTTAGTAACTAAAGTTTGTGTATTGTGATTTTGAAATCCTTAATATTTGAATGAATCATTTTCAAATTCAAAGATCAACAAATCAATTACACACATTCCTGGGGTTAAAGGTTAAGAATTATGTGACGAAAATTAAAAACAACTTTTGTTTTTCGCACAATAATGTATTAGGAAAGAAGTTTGCTCAATGAAACTGACCGTCGCTCGCTTCCTGTGGTGTGGCATCTATTGCCTGCCAACCATCATAATCACTTGTGTTATCATGTGTTAGTTTGATGTCTTCCCGCTTCATCCAGACCTCATTCCAAACATGATAGTTCCTGTAAATAAAAACAATAATCAGTTAAATGATTATTATAATAAAAACAATAATCAGTTAAATGATAATTATAATAAAAACAATAATCAGTTAAATGATAATTATATGAACAATCCTGTTAATGAAAACAATAATCAGTTAAATGATAATTATAATAAAAACAATAATCAGTTAAATGATAATTATATGAACAATCCTGTTAATGAAAACAATAATCAGTTAAATGATAATTATAATAAAAACAATAATCAGTTAAATGATAATTATATGAACAATCCTGTTAATGAAAACAATAATCAGTTAAATGATAATTATAATAAAAACAATAATCAGGGAAATGATAATTATATGAACATTCCTTAAAAAAAAACAATTATCAGTTAAATGATAATTATATGAACATTCCTTAAATAAAAACAATAATCAGTTAAATGATAATTATATGAACATTCCTGTAAATAAAAAACAATAATCAGTTAAATGATAATTATATGAACATTCCTTAAATAAAAACAATAATCAGTTAAATGATAATTATATGAACATTCCTTAAATAAAAACAATAATCAGTTAAATGATAATTATATGAACATTCCTTAAATAAAAACAATAATGAGTTAAATGATAATTATATGAACATTCCTGTAAATAAAAAACAATAATCAGTTAAATGATAATTATATGAACATTCCTTAAATAAAAACAATAATCAATTAAATGATAATTATATGAACTTTCCTTAAATAAAAACAATAATTAGTTAAATGATAATTATATGAACATTCCTTAAATAAAAACAATATTCAGTTAAATGATAATTATATGAAGATTCCTGTAAATAAAAAACAATAATCAGTTAAATGATAATTATATGAACATTCCTTAAATAAAAACAATAATCAATTAAATGATAATTATATGAACATTCCTGAAATAAAAAAAAAATATAACGAAAAATAAGTAAAACAATGAATAAGTTTCATGCTAAATGGAAATTACTGGCATTGAAAATTTTAATGTAGTATGAATATATAACTTTAACTACTTTCATATCATATGAACTTTCTTTTGAAAATGGTGATAATGAATAGAATTTAACTTTACTTTTGAATTATCATATATGCAGTTCTAGACATACCATACTGAATCCTTGTCGCTGTCCGAATCAGGTTCTAAAACTCCTTTGTCATTTTGTTTGAAGTACTTGTCAATAGTACAACTGTTGTCGGTATCGTGGGCAGATTTATAATTAGTGACACTCCTTGCTGGGATCCCAATAGCTCGGCAAACTAAAAATGAAATAACTAAGCTTTGGAAACGCGTCAAATGTGAAAATAAATTTGAAAATTCAAACTGTCTTTCCCAACGCCTATAATCTCATATACTCTCCAAACGCAAGTCTACAATCTTATATACTTTCCAAACGCAAGTCTATAATCTCATATACTTTCCAAACGCAAGTCTAAAATCTTATATACTTTCCAAACGCAAGCCTATAATCTAATATACTTTCCAAACGTAAGTCTTTAGTCTCATATACTCTCCGAACGCAAGTCTATAATCTCATAATACTCTCAGAACGCAAGTCTATAATCTCATATACTTTCCGTACGCAAGCCAATATAACATTCAGAAAAGGAACGTGCAGGTCATTGTGAGACACATGGCATCGGCAGTACATTTTACGAGCTCGGGACCGAACTACGTATTAACATTAGCAGAGTTTTATACATTCCTAACACAAGCGGGACGAAGGCGAATGTACAGGAACACACATATACATTTCATAGGCTCATAGCGTTTCTTTGGTTTACAAAATGGATTAAATAATAGCACAATGGTTACACATATACCTAAACTAATTTCTGTGGGCTAGAGCCTGATTTAAGTGCCGACGTTATATTTTAAACCTGAAAATTTACTCGTTATCTGTTTGTTACTCTAATATCAAATAAAATAATATGAAATAAAAAAGAAAATTAACCAGTTGTTGTTACTCCAGAGAATACCCAGCACTGGCCATACTTCACGGGTTTCCCTGTTTCCATGTACTTTTGTATAATCCGTACACTACCGTACCAGTCTAATGGGCTACACCCATCATCATATTTCCCATCCCAGCGTCCCCAAAGTATACCTTTGTCTGAATCGCAGCAGTTCACCTGTATGTTATAAAATGAAAGAAATGAAATATTGTAGCAATGAACAATATTTCTTGACAATGTTTTGCAAATTTACAAGGGTTCTTGACAATGCATTTCAAATATAAGTTTTCTTGACAATGTTTTTCTTATTTACGGGTTTTCATGGCAATATATTATTAGTTATAAAGATTGTTGACAGGTTATATGGCCCTATATAAACGGCTGTTTGTAAATATAACACGAGCCGCTAGGCGTGGGTAATAATGCAAATAGCCGTTTATATACAGACATATTTCCTGTCAACATTCTTTACAATGAATTTATAATAAAGCTCGCATCATTTTTTAGTGAAAAAAGTAAGGTTTCTTCATAAATCGACAGCAGCCGTGTATATATAAAACTTTATAATACTGCACGTTTGTAACGTCGCTTTTCATTGGTTAATCGTGACGTTTATATAGGGTTAACGCACGTTTTTCCGTGTTATAACGTCTGCAGTGTCCCGAGGAACGGTTGGTGCCCGAGCCCGGTAGGGCGAGGGCTCCAACAGTTCCGAGGGACTCTGCAGACTTTATAACACGAAATAAACGTGCGTTGACGCTATTATAGCATAAAATTTTCAAACAGATTCGTGATGTATAGTTTATACAAAACACAATTACATTAAATTCTTGTGCTTGGACGGTATTTATCCAATTCCATGTTTTACGTATGCGTTTCATTTTTCCGGGGCCAACAACTTGGAAAATTCTCGGAACCGAACGAAATTTTGAATTTTAATTGATTTAACAAAGCTTGGCCTTTGGAGGTTTATTATCTCAAGAAAAAAAACGTCACGAACATTACTCTACCCTCTACCCAAGACAAAACATGACCTAGAGTGATTTCAGATTGACGGTGGAAAAAAGATCAGTGACATCAGAATCGGTTTTTTTTTCAAGCAAACAAGTTTATAAAAAAATCAGGCACTAAGCATTATTCTCTCAAAGAAATATAAAGAGCATTTATCAACATTAACATAAATAAAAAACATTTTCTCATATTAATTTTGTGTTATCTAGTTTTGTAAGTTAATCGGAGTATTAAACTGAATGACAGGTAGATTCTACTGTATTTGTTTACATTGACAACTGTCCGTTTCTTAGAAAGGGCGACAACCAAGATTAGCACCGATGTCTATACGCCGTTTTTCCGGCATAGTTACTGGAATATGCGACTGAGGCTCTCGAATCAATAAATTTCAATATAACAAGAGCGCACGACTCTTCGGCAAACAGGCCAAATCTTCATTTTTTGTTTGTTTGTTTACTGGGCCCTGTATGTATTGCGCATAGGTGAAACCGGGCTATGACTATGTTAACACATGGTTTTGGTCCCGTTATAACATGGGCAAAAGAGGGAAAAATAGCCGATTTTATGCTATAATATAGTTTTATATACACGGCTGTTGTCGATTCATGAAGAAATCTTATATGTCACGATTATCCAATGAAAAGCGACGTTACAAACGTGCAATATTATAATGCAAAAAATTACAGGGTTTCTTGGCAAAGTTTTTTTTCTCAAAGATACGAGTTTTCAATTTTAACAAAGTATTTAAAATTTCCAAGCTTTTTTTACAATATGTTTCAAACACTCGGTGTTTGTTGACATTGTATATTTGCTTATTTGGGCTTTGCTGATTTTTCTTTCTTTATTTTTTACTGTCCTTTAATATACATGTATCTGCAGTGTACTTACAACTTGAGCAATAACTCTGGCAACTTTAACTGGATCACTCAATTTGTACAAAGTCTTCTCCTTGAAACATTTCATGATGACAAACAGTGCTGCTTCTAAGATACCGTCCTCAAACTGTTTGTAACATAAAAGAGAACTTTATTTTTACCATAGTGTTCCATTACGTATGACTGACTTATACAGGTACAAAACTAAACAGACAAACATATGTTTTACGAAAACAAACAATTAAACTTAATAGCTACGCAAAGGTAGTACAAAACTTAACAGGAGCATATAGGTTATACGCTCTTAACACTCTTAACAGTTACACATAAGTACATATACTACAAAACTTAACAGTAGCGCATAGGTAATACGCTCTTAACACTCTTAACAGTTACACATAAGTAATTAAGAAATTAAATAAATACGCATATTAAAAACGAAATGAAAAGAAATTCTATAAACAGATGCGCAAAGGAAGTAAAAATTAAATACTTACTTAGTGTTTGTACTATGTTATATAAGTAAACAGTTGCACGTAAATAAAAGAAACTTTTATTATAACTTTACAGATGTAATTCTGAACTAAACATTTACGCATATAATACGAAACTAAACAGTCACGCATAAGTAATACAAAACTTTAATTGGTTAAGGGTCAAAATATAAGAAGATTAAATGAGAACTTTACACACTGTAAAATTACAATATCATATATATAGTCAGAAACCTACCTGGCCAAAGTTCCAGTCCTTGCCTCGAGGGCGGAGTGAGTTACCCCTGAATACAACCCCGTGGTCATTTAACACATACTCGTTACGTTCTTTTTCATCTGGCATATAGACGGCGTCATCTTTCAAAAACAAATAAAGATTTGTTTAATCTAAAAGCAAATTTTATACGGCAGCAACAAATATTCTCCGCTATGAATATGACTTTAGTTTGATATGGACTTCACTCACTATATACCCTTGGATGGGCATAATGTCACTTAAATAAGTTATGTTTTTATCATTATTAATTTTCAAATATATTGTCACCTTGGCAGATGAGGATATCTTTATTATATACGGTAGATGTCGTCAAAATATAAGTGATATTTATTAAAAACGTAATACAACGGCATCCAGTGTAACCGGTAACTCTTAAATCGGCTTCCGAGTGAAAAATATTACTCTGAGATAAATTTTATTTCCACACCATATCAACAATATTAACAATAGCTAACAACTCAAAATCTAACTAACCTTTACACCATGGGTTAAACAGAATGAAAAAGTTATCTTTGTGTTCATAACACAAACTCTTCCTCTTTCCTTTTGTTTTTGTGATTATAGAAAACGACCATTCACCAATAGCGATAGTTGCAGGCGGATGAACTTCGATGTCCAATGTACAGTCCTCGTTTTTAATCAAGTGGCAACTCCAACCGTCAGAACAACGCTTTGCTTTTCCAGTTTCGTCAAGCTGCATGCGTCCGTGAGTCTCCGGGTGCGTGTCAGCATATTTTCCTAGGAAAGAACAGTTCTATTTTTTAATACAGCGACTTAACTTAATCATTTTATCAAGAGAATATAAATTAATCTCCATATAAATAAGTTTTAAAAATGGGTATCTATTAATAACTTTTTTAATTTATCAGTCTCGTGCGCACCGTCACTTACAATATGTACATACAACATTACATGCGATATATAGTCCGTACATACTACATTACTAGTATTTAGGATTATACCATTGGACATTATCTGTGTGTACAGAATATATACCGCAGGTTAGCCACATGTAACTTTAAAGGCACCGTTCTATGAAGCAAAATAATAATACACCAGATGGAAATGATGACCATATGGTGCCGTTTCTTTAAAACAATAAATCAATTAAAAACTAGAAACGTGTTCATGGGACACAGATGCCCCCATTCATCCCTGGCTTTATGGCCACTTAACAAAGTCATATACTTTGAAAGTAAAACCATTTTAAATCATTAATTAAGACTGATATTACAGAATGACAACTATGACAAACGTGTACTGAGACCAGCTGATGATTAAAAAATTAGTTTGGCTCTGAGTCTCAAATAACTGTTTGTGGGGGTCAGCTCTTACACAATGACCAATAGGTGAACATTATTCTCTTCATTTCTGCATTAGTAGGTGGATATTCTTGGGGCTTTGCAGATGGTAAATTGAGCTTTTTTCATTTCTCATTCGTATAACGTTTTTTGACGAAAAACAACATGTTATGACCAACATTCCTGTAAAGTTTCTTGACTCTTTGTCAAATACCTTTTGAGTTACGCCAGACACAAAATAAAAATTATATTTCTTTTAATCAAGAGCAATGACCCCATGTGTACAACTTCACATATTGATCAACATTCCTATAGTGTTTAGTGACTATAGGTCAAGCACTTTGAGAAGAACAGAACATTTTAGAACGGTATTTATTAAGTCACGGGCACTTACTCTATATAAACTGAATAAAATTTATATACACGAACAATCCCAGGTGCACAGCTACACAAGCTGACTAATATTTCTGTACAATTTCATGAATCTACCTTAAATACATTTTGGGCTACACTTGTTGAAAATTGCATATTTTTACTTAGTCAAGGGCAATAACTCTACACACACTGAATAAAAGCCCAAGCGAACCTCCATGTGCATAACTACACATGCTGACCAACATCCCTGTAAAGTGTTTAGGTTGATTACTTTCTGAGCGACACAAATTAAAAATTGCAAAATTTTACTAACTCATGGGCAATACCTCTAACAAAACTCTAGCCAAAAAAAAACCCACCCGCGGACACCAGTTGCACAACTTCTTAAGCAATTTTAGAGCTTCTTGTGACCCAACGTTTTTGAACGTATGTACGGACGCACGAACAAGGCCAAGCATAACTGCCCCTACAGAGCGGGGCATAAAAAACTCGTCACATAAGTTAAAGGCAATATTATTTATCATAATATTTTTTAAAATATTGATTTTACAACTATATAACGGATACCTGTTTTAAAAACCAAGAGAAGGTCATCTCTTTTGACGTCATAAGGCTTATTAAACGTCACACCAATGTTGAAAGCCTGACCTCGTCTAACAACGAGTTCCGGTCCATCATCGTCATCGTCTACAGGTTTCTCATCTTCATTGGAGTCCTGGGTACAAGCATACGCATCAGTATGGTGTTTTTCAGTGTTCTCTTGTATTTTAAGATCTATTTCCGTCACGTTTAGCGCTTCCTGCAGATCGTCATCGGAAGCTCTATTTGGATCGTTGTTGTCTGAAAGATAAAAGCGATTCTGTCAATATGTAATATATTTTCGCGTCAGGTTTTGTCGTAAATAGATGTTAACTTATTCTGATGGATTAATCACAACAACTAACGATGCTTATAAACTGACGAGAAAATAATAATAATAATAATAATAATAATAATAATAATAATAATAATAAGAATAAGAATAAGAATAAGAAAAAGAATAAGAATAATATTCTGGGAAGGGCTTAATCTAATGTTGTAAGAACTTGTTACCCAACCCATTTGCATTTTGATATATACTCATTATTTGTATGATATGTTTGTTAACATGTATTTAATGCATTAAAATATGTTTACACTAAATAATAATAATAATAATAATAATAATAATGATGATAATAATTATAATAATAATTATAATATTAATAATAATTATGATGATAATAATAATAATAATAATAATAATAATTATGATAATAGAAATAATAAAAATAATAATAATAATGATAATAATAATAATAATAATAATAATAATAATAAAATAATAATAATTATGATGATGATAATAATTATAATGATAATTGTAAGTACTCGGTATATATCGTGCCATGGTTGTGAGAAATTAAATGTTGTGATCAATGCGTCACTGGCATTATCGGAGAAAAGCTAAGATTGGTTGATAGACCAAAATAAATAAAACATTTTGTTTAAGTATTGCGACTATTCATTAAACCGTATGAGCCTCTATGTCAAAATTCACTTTACCTTCTTCCTTTGGCTTTAAAGTAGTCAACTTTTCTTTTCGTTTCTTGACCTTTTTATTCTTAGGTGGACTGTAGAATAAGGCGCAAAAATCATCGAACAAATCTTCTAACGATTCTGCAAAATCTTTCGGCATCGTTGTAGTATAATTGTTTACTGAAATGTGTGGTAAAAAAAGGCAAAAATATTATTATTCATCATATAAATGTATATACTATATCATTTATAACTATTTTATCAGCATTGTTTCAACATTATATATGCAGATGCAAATGAAAAATATACCTATCGTAGACCGATCCGCTTTAAATGAAATCCTATACCGTATCAGAAGGAGATCGATAACCGATCAATCATTGATTTTGGATGACTGATTATCTTTGACCGGATCGTTTCAGTGAATTTGTTTTAAATGGGATCCAGCATTTATAATTTAAATTCTATAACAAGTACCATGTATGTATTGAACTGTGATTTTAAACCGATCTCTGTACTTAATGATGAAATTATAATTATTACGTTATCGCCTACTGATAGGACTACAAACACTGTTAGAATGAAAATTATTGTATATTTAAATGACATCTCTTAAACCCGCAACGAAGATTTTGACGAAACTTTATTTAAGGTTGAAAATCTTTTAATACGAGTTCTAAAAGGGAAGAAACATATTTGTACCGACTCAATCAAACCTATTCTGCAATTTTCATGTAAGTTTGCTAAATTCAATGCTTTCAAGGGATCCCTTTTTACAGATATTTATTAAAACTGCCGATTTTTGTGAGTAAGTAACAACATTGTTAACATCATGTAAAATGACAGTTTGTTAGAGTTTTTACAGTGACACTATTCTAAAAGCAGGAAGAAGCAAAAAGTAGATGAATAAAAACTGACGAGACAAAAAGCATGTAAAAAACAAACGATTTAGTTACAGGACATAAATATTGCATTCCACATGTAGGTATTTTTATTCAGTGTATATTAATATATCAACGTACTTACATCTATTATTATACTTTCATTGATGAAATCATAAAGCAATATTTGTGTCTATTGTACCGTCTACACGTTTATAAGGTTGTTTTTTAATAAAACTATTTTCATTAGAAAATCGTGGCAATTATATTTCATTATACTGCACGTTTGTAAAATATACGAAAGCCTAATAGTTTCAAATGAAATAAAAAATAAAAATGCAAAGGCGTTATAACGCGAATAAAGGCATTATTACGCGAATCAAAAGGCGTAAGAACGCGAATAAAGGCGTAGCAACGCAAATCAAAAGGCGTAAGAACGCGAATAAAGGCGTAGCAACGCGAATCAAAAGGCGTAATAACGCGAATAAAGGCGTAGCAACGCGAATAAAGGCGTTATAACGCGAATCAAAAGGCGTAATAACGCGAATAAAGGCGTTATAACGCGAATCAAAAGGTATAGTAACGCCTTTATTCGCGTTATAACGCGAATCAAAAGGCGTAGTAATGCGAATAAAGGCGTTATAACGCGAATAAAAAGGCGTAATAACGCGAATAAAGGCGTAATAACGCGAATCAAAAGGCGTAGTAACGCGAATAAAGGCGTAGTAACGCGAACCAAAAGGCGTAATAACGCAAATTAAAACACATTATAATGCCAATTTAATACCATATTTATACTAATCAAATTCGCGAGAAAGGAAGACCGATATTGATCTGAATTTATTGCTCAAGATATAAACTCGTATACAATAATACAATATACATTTACAATAACTTTCATTCTATTTGCATAGTAATTATGCAAACTATTTGTCATAAACTAATAAAGACTCTTTAATATTTGCCAATATAAGATGGCTTGGTGACTTATAGGTTATAAAGTATTACCTCCTTCAAATAACAATCCTCCTACGAAGTTTGAATATTGTGGGCCAAATGGAACTTAAGTTATGCTCCCGAAAACCATATCGCTTACGGACGGACGGACGCGACGACAGACAGACGGACGGACGCACGTTCCAACATTTTGGGTTTAGGGGCTATTTTCTTTGTTATTTCTTTGTTCTCTTAAGGGCTACTAGCCATAAACCCTTTGATCACGGATTGAACCTTTGTTCTCTTTTGTTCTCTTTACTGTTATATTTGCCCCTAAACCCAAAATGGTTTGCTCGGACGTACGGACGCCAGGGGGTAAACATAATATGCCCGAAATTCTTTCGGGCATATAATAAAACGTAATCTAGATCATTCATTTAAATCAACATTGTTCTTCCTTCCATACATTAATAGGCCACTGTTTGGAATTAATATGGTATTAAATTAGCGTTATAACGCCTTTTTTTTTGCGTTATTACCCTTTTGGTTCGCGTTATACGCCTTTTGATTCGCGTTATAACGCATTTATTCGCGTTAGTACGTCCTTTTGATTCGCGTAATTACGCCTTTTGTTTCGCGTTATTACGCGAATAAAGCGTTGTTACGCTTTTTCAATTCGCGTTATTACGCCTTTTTTTTTTTCGCGTTACTACGCCTTTTGTTCGCGTAATAACGCCTTTGTTTTCGCGTTATTAACCTTAATTTCGCCATTGCTACGCCTTTTTTCGCGTAATTACGCCGTTTGATTCGCGTTATTACGCCTTTTGATTCGCGTTATTACGCCTTTGATTCGCGTTATAACGCCTTTATTCGCGTTTTGTTACGCTTTTTTTCGCGTTGCTACCTCTTTTCGAAATAATTCGCATTCCTACGCCTTTGGTTCGCGTTACAACGCCTTTATTCGCGTTATAACGCCTTTTGTTTCGCGGTTTTAACGCCTTTATTCGCGTTGCTACGCCTTTTTCGCCTAATTACGCCCTTTTTGATTCGCGTAATTACGCCTTTTGATTCGCGTTTATTACGCCTTTTGAAGATTCGCGTTCATATTAACGCCTTTTGATTTCGCGTTATTTCGCCTTTGATTTGCGGTTATATAACGCTTTTATTCGCGCCCCCCCCCCATTGCTACGCCTTTTTTTCGCTTGCTACGCCTTTCAATTCGCGATGGCTACGCCTTTTAGTTCGCGTTACTAACGCCTTATATCACTTATAACGCCTTTGTTTCGCGTCTATAACGCCTTTATTCGCGTTGCTACGCCTTTTTTTTTCGCGTTATAAACGCCTTTTGATTTCGCGTAATTACGCCTTTTTGATTCGCTAATATTTCTTTTACGCCTTTTGATTCGCGTTACTAGCCGCCTTAATTCGCGTTCTTTGCTTACGCCATTTTTTTTTTCGCGTTGCCTACGACCTTTCGATTCGCGATGCTACGCCTTTTTGCGTTCGCCGTTACTACGCCTTTTATTCGCGTTATAACGCTGTTGTTTCGCGTTTATAACGCCTTTATTCGCGTTGCTACGTCCTTTTTTCGCGTAATTACGCCTTTTGATTCGCGTAATTACGCCTTTTGATTCGCGTAATTAATACGCCTTTATTCGCGTTATAACGCCTTTGCATTTTTATTTTTTATTTCATTTGAACACTATTTAGGCTTTTCGTAAAATAACTTTACCATCGGATAATTTTAGTTTATATAAACTATATATTACGGCTTGTCGTAAATCATATATTCTAATTATATATCTAATATTATTATTATTTATTTTTATAAAATTGATTTATGTTATTCTTTTTTTTTCTCAAATTTAGGAAGTTTGTTTCATAATGAATTCGGCATAGGTTATTGTTGGCATGTTATCTGACCGAAATATAAAAGGTTATTAACAATTTCAACGTTTACATTAGGCAAGATAACAATATTTAGCTCCATGGGCAATAAATACTGTCGAAAATTTATTATTATAATACTGCAAGTTTTGTAAACGTCGCTTTTCATTGGATAACCGCGGCGTTTATATATATTTTTGTATACGAGGCTGCTGAAAACCCCCCCCCCCACACACACACAAATGGAAGTAAACAGTATTATTATAAAAAGATTTTTTGACAGATTATATGGCCGTACACAAACGGTTGTTTCAATATATTTTACAAACAAACCGTTTATATAGGGCCATATAACCTGTCAAAATCTCTTTAACTAATAACCTCAATAAGCGGCTACTGTATATTTTATAAAACTAACTAATCAAGCATTCAAAAGAAGCAATAGTTGAGTATCATAAATTCATTATAAAGGTTGTTTCAGCTTGCAACCGAAAAAAAAATTAATGCAATAGTTACTACAATATCAAATATCTTTATAGCTGCTAGTAAAAATTGTAAGATTTACTAATAAACTAAAATTTACACTGCAAAACTCACCTGTTGTGAAATTATAACCCGATTTTGTATATCCACCATTAATGTTTACACAGGGTTGTTATGGCATTGCAAGGATGCCCTATATAAAATTCGACCCTGTACAGGAAAACCCAGATCAAAGATGTTCCGCTCTGTTGACTGCCATTGGACATATATTTTATCAATGCCGATAGATCGATATAGTAACTGAATGCATATAACCATTGTAAGTCAGGTTGAAATTTCTCCATATAATTTGAAAGTAATAGGTTAAATTATATTAATCATGTGAAATATTTGAAAAGATTTTTTCCTCTTTTTAAGTTTGATCTTGAACGCGATTTCAATTATTATATTTGATAGCAGGGTTGTAAACATGCAACCTGCATGACAAAAAGATATAAAAAGAATATCTTAATCATATTTGATTTTTATTTTTATAGAAAGAATGTTTTTAAGTGTTGTAAGTTTAAGTTACTAAATATTTTGTAAAATCTGCCATACGTTTAGAGTAAAAGAAATATATGATTACGAGGAACTTTCATATTTGGATTAAGGTGTGTGTGGGGGGGGGGGGGGTGTAATAGTTATTGAGTGGTATATGTTGCCGACACATTTTGCGAATACAACCGGTTTTAAAAAGTAAATTTACCTCCAGGTTTTGATTGTTAAACAGATACAAATATTAAACATATTCTCCACAAGTAACGGTATTCTTCTCCTCTCTGATTAAATTTAACCAGCCGGGTAATAAATTTGTAAACGTAAACTTGCTGACAACTTCCCCTCAGGTAGTTCAACACGGTTATTTATCTATTATCTTCAACTGGTTGACAACTTCCCCTCAGTAATAAAGTTTATTCAAACGGGTTATAATATCAATTTTTGTAATCTGAC